GGCTGGGCTAGTACTAAGCTTAAATCAGCCAGGGCAAATCCTCACACTAGGACAGACACCCCAAGCTCAGTTCCTCAGCACCATGGGCTACATTTGAAGTATTCCCTCATATCTCACTTCTTTTTTTTTTTTTTTTTTTTTTTTTTTGGTCTTTTTGAGACAGCGTATCCCTGTAGCCCCAGCTGGCCTGGAACTTGCTACATAGATAAGGCTGGAAATCCGCCTGCCTCTGCCTTCCGAGTGCCAGGATCAAAGGCGTGCATCATCATGCCCCGCATATCTCACGTCTTAACATTCAGAAATGTCCTATTATTATTTTAGACTCATTTTCCTATTGCATTAAATACAAAATCCTTGTTATTAAATATTGATAGATTGTTATTTTTGGTGCTGGGGATGGATCAGGGTCCTGCATATGCTAAGCATGTGTTCTACCACAGCCCCTATGTTAAAATGTATGTTTATAATCCTCCATAGTTTTCACAATTATTAATATTCCATTGTTAGTTATCTTTTGAGGGGGGTTCTGTTTGTTTTTGACAGGATCCTCATATAACCCAGTCTTTCAAACTCCCTTTGTAGCCAAGGATGACCTTGAACCCTTAATCTGTCTCTACCTCCCAAGCACTGGGATTATAAGGATGTACCATCATGCCTGGTATTACAGGCATGTTTATTGTTACCTTTTTTTTCCCCTTGGTCTTTTTGAGACAGGGTCTCCCTGTAGCCCCAGCTGACCCGGGAACACTATGTAGATCAGGCTGGCCTTGAACTCACAGAGATCTTCCTGCTTCTCGAGTTCTGAGACTAAAGGTGTGCAACCACCACACCCAGCAAAATTATTTTTATTTCACATGTATGAATGTTTCCTGTATGTGTGTGTGTGTGTGTGTGTGTGTGTGTGTGTGTGTACCACACATGTGCAGTGCACACAGAGATCAGAAGAGGGTGTCAGATCCCTGGAACTGAAGTTATAGTTGTCAGCCTCCATGTGGGTGCTGGGAACTGAACCTGTGGCCTCTGTAAGAGCAGCCAGTGCTCTTAACTGCTGAGCAATCTCTTCATCCTCTCCACCTTACTTTTTTGAGATAGGGTCTCTCACTGAGCCTGGAGCTCACTGATTTGTCTAGACTGGCTGGCCTGTGAGCCCCAGTTGATCCTCTGTTCCTGCCTCCCCAGCACTGGAGGTACAGACATAGGACACCATGGCCAGCTGTAGTGGGTGCTGGGGATTGAACTCAGATTCTCATGCCTGCATAGCAAGCACTACACCTCCTGAGCTATCTCCCCAGTCCTATCTGTTTAACATTTGTTGATGTTCATATTAACAATGTGAATGACATGGATCATTGATTTATTAATAGTTTTGGTTCTGATTAACTTCCCCCCTTTTTTTTCTTTTGAGACAGGGTCTCATGTACCACAGGTTAGCCTCTAGCCCACCAGTTAACTAAAGCTGGCCTTGAATTGGTCCTCCTGCCTTAGCTTCCCAAACGGTGGGCTTGTGACCCCATGCCTGGCTAATACTTATGAAAGTATCAATAGCATTGACCTTATTGACCTATGGAACCTGCTAGGACTGTTTTATTGCCCTTCTGACCCGGCCACCTGGGTCCCTGCAGGCCTGGGCAGCTGCCCTCTCCCTCTCAGCCGGAAGGAAGGGCGGGTGACCAGGCTGCTGGGAGTGGACAGCCTGTTTCCGGCAGTCCTAGCCAGCCGTGGGAACTGGCGTCCACTTCCCCCCTGGGCCTCCAGTCCTGTGGACAGGGGAGGAGCTTGGTCCTGAGGGCGAGCAGGGGGTTGCAGCTGTCACCATGGGGCCTATAGTAAGAGTAAAGTGATGGCCTTGGAGCCCTTTGCAAATAAATAGAAGTCTCATAGCCAAGAGCTCTTGGAGAACCCAGACTGGGACAGCCCGGTGAGAAGAAACTGGGCGAGGAAGGAAACGGGTTTGGGTCTCGGAGAAATCTGGCAGGCAGGGCTGGCCTGTGATTAAAAAGGGGAAGAACCACAAGTCTTCATTTAAGTCAGCAAGGCTGCTGTCGGCTGCGACAGAGAAAGTGCTTGCGGCTGGCAGATTGCAGCCGCCATTTGGCAAACGCCAAAAGGCCTCCAGTACCTGGTGCCCTGTGTGCATCACCTGGCCACTGCTAGGCTGCGGGTACCTGGCAGTCTCCTTCCACAGGTGTAATAAATTGAGTGTGTTATGGGCCGATCAGGCTAGACCTCACGGAAACCCTATTCCCTCCTCCCACATCCTCAGATGCTGTGTGACCTTCCAGGGGACATTTCCGAATGGGGACGTCAACTCCAGGCTTTGCAGCAGAGCTTAACTGGCCTTTTCTTTCTCACAATTCTTTATGGGCCCCCAGTACCCTCAAAAAAATCCCAAAGCCGCACCAGGACCTTAAAGATACCACTTGCAGGCTGCCTTTCCACCTGTATAGGAAGTTCCTTTTCCACTTCCCTCCAGGGCACTAAACATGAATTCAGGGCCTTTGCACCTGCTGTTCCAGTGCCCCAAGGCCCGGAATGCCCTTCCCTCAGATGTCTTGTCCTGGGACCTCCTCAGCTTAAACGTTATTCAAATATTTGCCTTCCTGAGTCCCAAAGACAGCTTCTTTCACGCTCCATCCCATAAGTGTTTCGTCAAGTGTTTCATCATTGGTGCTGTGTCCCCCGGCATCTAGCACCTACTACCAGTACGTACCAGACTTCTGCACGGTTTTGTGAGCTCTTCCAGGCCCTTGGTCTCCAAGATCCGCAGCCCACCCTCTCCTTGGCCACGCTGTGGCTACCTATCTGATTGAAGTGGAAATCCCCACCTATGGGGAGTCCCTTCCTGGGGCTCCAAAAGCAGTCCTGGGGACTGAAGTGGGTGGTTTATGCACACACAAGCCTCACTGCTCTAATGCAGAAACTCAATCCTTCCAGTCCCCGAGTGGGCTGGGGTCACGTGTTATTTCCATTTCATAGATGAAGAAACTGAGGACAGAGGTCAAGTCCTTGGCCCCAGGCAGCAAAGGGGAGGCAGTGGCTTGCGGGAGTCTGTCTTCTGGGAAGGGTTGCAGTGGCCCCTCCAAGCTGGGGGCGTGGGCGGCTTGCTTCCTGTTGGGGGAGGGGGAAAGGGCAGACATTCCTCTCTCCCCTCCCTCCCTAGAGTCGCGGGAGAGGCTAGCGGGCAGTGTACTCAATTTGAGTACAGACTGCACCCTCTGTTAACGCACCCCCAATGAAGTCATAAAGAAAAGGTAAGTGGCCACGCAGACGTGGAGGCGCAGAGGGTTCAGACGCCAGGAGTGCGGCGGAGTTTTTGGAGGAAGATGCACCACGCTGGAGAGGGGCCGAGCGGCCAGGTGGCGACAGGTCCTTTACCCCGCCCGGTTGGGGCCAATACCGAGCTGAGGATGGAAACCGAACCCGAAGGGATGGGGCGGCCGAAGAGGGTCAGCTACGAAGAGTCGCGGATAATGGGGCCCGGGTAGGGGCGGCCTCCTCCCCGGGAGGTGATGAAAGCGGCTGTCGCAGTTGCTCGGCCTGGCCGGGCCAGCGCTGATAAGACCGGGTTGGAGGGAGTCGGCAGGGGGGGGGGCCCCCGGGGCAGGGGGGCGCCCCC